CTCCTCTAACCCCACCCCTCTTTCCTGCCTATGCAGGGGGTCGGACTCGATGATCTATTGAGGTCCCTTCCGACCCTAATCTATGAATCTATGAATCTATGAGACTGAAAGGGATGGAGCAGGTGGGCTGGTCAGCTGAAGTGATACCACAATGAACTTCCAGCTCTTGGACACAACATCAGTCAATGGGATAATGTGCTCCTCTCTGTTTTCTTTCCCAACCAGGATCTGTTCAGGCACCCCTGTGACTGTAGGTAAGTAAACTGAGGCTTTGCAGTTGGGATTTTCCAGGGGTGACTATTCCTGTGAAAGTCCCAGCCTTTTGCTCCAACCGCTGACTGTTTCCTCATAGCTGTGGTCACCAGCTCCTGTGATATAGCTGAACATTTTGAGTCAGCCGCTGGAATCGGAGGTCCTAGAAGGGGATTGAGCTCCAGAAGCACAGGGGTCCAACCCAGAAGAAGAGCGAGCTCTGTGGTGAGGCCGCGTGTCCAGGAAGGTGTAGGCTGCTTTCCATCCGCAGGGCTCAGCTCCCGAAGTGATGGATTTAGCTCTCAAAGCTGGGGTTACCAATCCAGGACAGTGGCGAGCACTGCAGGAGGCCCAGGTTTTTCTGGAGGTGTAGCTTGTTGCCCCAAGGGTGGACCTGTCCCCAAAAAGGGGGAAGTTAATTCTCATATTGCAGTATGCCAGCCTGGAAGCACGGCCAACTTTGGTCCTGGAGGATGCGTTATGAGACATTTAGGGAGCTCTCCAATTGTTGGTGAAGCTTGCCCTGGGGTTGGAGGATGCGACACTGGAGTCGTGAAGCCGTAGCAGCCTTTTAGGCATCCTGTATGCTACTCGGCCACGTTCCCATGGCCTGTTAATGGTCTCATTTGCCCTCTGGGTTTCTTGAGACTGACAGCTCTATAAATCACAAGGAAACTTGCCATATTTTCTCATATACAATCCACCCTAGAATATGATACACGCCAGGCATGCCTACATGTGATGCTACATTGTCGTAGCGATACACTATGGTGATGTGCTATCCACGGGTGTCTACACGTGACCAGCAGCTACTTCGCTGTAGCAGCATGCTCCCTCGTTATAGCGCACCGCTACGGCAAAGTAGCTGCTAAAAATAACCATGCACTGTGCGTATGGCGCAGTACAAGTGCTTACTGTGCCTTGCTTCCTTTTGGTGCAGTAACAACATCACCATAGAGCAATGTGTTGACATGCCCACCTTGTTTCGAAAGGCAAGATAAAGAAAAAAATATCCTTCCTTGCAGTAAGTAACTGAATAGCAGCAGCTAGGGAGCCAAGCCTGCTCAGTGGTCTGCTGCCTGGGGAGTGCATGCAGACTTCACTTTCACCCAGCAAAGGCTGATCTTACTGTGTTTTCTTGCATATATGCATACACCGATTTCCAATTTGGAGGGAGAAAAAAATTGCATGTTGTCTGGGTGAAAAGATGGTATTTTTTGCTACGTCCCTTTCCAAAGAGTTTCCAAAAGAGAAGCAGTGATTTAATTTTCCCCGGAGGGCATTGCCAAGGGCAACACTTGATTCTAGAGCTGTTTGGCTGTGTTTCCCAAAAAGCTGCTCTAAATGTTCATCAAAGAAATGTCAATTTTCCAAGCATGTTTGGTTAGCACTTTAACCCCACGCACTGAATATCACTTGCCGATGAATACATGCCACTCTGCTGCACAGGAAAACCTGAATTCTCCATGAGCACTATTTTCAGATGTGCTCAGCGCTTACGAAGGCAATCAAAGCCACTGTGACTTATTGGTGCAAAATATCACTGAATCGTCTATCCTGTTGGATTTGCATACACTTTGCCTTTACTAATTGTCACGACCTCTCATCTTCCCACTGGACCATCAATAAACTCAGTGAATTCATGTTTTACCCCTGAGTTTTTAATCAACAACGCTCTTTGATGTTGCAAGATTGACCGGTAATATCCCTTTCTGAGGCCATATACTTAGGAGCAGGATTTTACACAGTGCTAAAGTATATATTGATTTGAATTCATGAGCAAGATGCAGGCTCAGGTTACAACCTTCTTTAGATAATACGGGCCACGTCTACGTGAGACGCCGACTATGCAGTTGTTACTGTACAGTCATTTAGTACTTGTATAACCGAGTACTAAATAACTAGAAGTAATGAGCGGTTGATTGTGCGGTAACTCATTACTACTGTGCAGTGCGTTGTATCACGATCCGTGCCCTGTGACAATACTACACAATAGTAACAAACTACTGAACAGTAAGCTTCTCATGTGGACACGGCCACAGAAGACAAATTTCAGAACTGTCCAAGGTTAATTATTGCTTTTCTTTGATACTACCATCACCACTACAATATCCAAGCACCCAGGACACACTTTACCTGAGTTAAGGATTTCCTGTTAATAGTTTGTTTGCAAATAAACCCAAATATGCTTAGCTGGGCTGCATCCCTGGGATTTTGGACAGAGAGAGTTCAGAACAGCAAGAGAAAAGTTGAATGGAGATGTATAAGGCTTGGGAGAAAACTCATTGCATATTTCCATGGTCAAAAAGTAAAACATATAAGGCTGCAGTAGAGTTCACAGGCAAAGACTTGGCGTGGCCTTGTGGATAATAACCAGCCATGAAGAATACAGCAAGTCAGAGTACAGAAAGTGTCATGCTTTGGCTGGAAATCTGAGGGTCAGAACACCTTAAGGAGTATAAAAGCATCCCCTCTCTTAAATGCAGGTAAGGAAATCAAGTTTGCTTGTTTGAATTTCCTTGCAAGCCTCTTCAGTGATCCAGGTATGCTACTCAAACACAAATAAAGAGCAAAGGCATAAGTTGTAAAATCTCTGACCCATACAGTAGCAGCCATTCCTGTGTGTTGCCCACAACCCTGACTCTATCATCACAAAGGACTTGCTTCTCCCTCCAGCAGATGAGGAACTACCTAACACATTGCACATTCAACTCCTTGCCACAATAAGGCAAAAACCTACTCCAGCCAATAGTCAGGGTGGACTCGCGTGCACAAGTTAAGTGTGTTCCATATTATGTATTTATGGGGCGGATATTCCTGCTTTAAGTACACATTGAATCCAAAATTAATACAGCCATTACAGTACCCTGATAAATACATTTTGATAGGCAGGGGTTTGGGTTGTAGCTGTGTTGGTCTAAGGACATAGGCAGACAAGGTTCCTTGGGTGAATTTGGTATCTTTTATTAGACCAACCCAAATGGTTGGAGAATAGTTATTAAGCAAGCTTTCGGGTTCAAAAACCCTTCGTCAGGCTAAGGAAGTGTCAGCAGTTGGTGTGTGCTCTTCACTCCAGTGGGTAGGTGCTAGGTGATGGCTCTGGAGACCCAGCTTGGATTCCTTACCTGCTGGACATCTTGTGTGACCTGGACAAGTCACTCAGATCCAGAGCCTGGATAAATCATTGTCTGGAATAGCATGCATTCATGCAGGGGATTCGAACTCGATGATCCTTGCAGCCTCTCCCATGCCTATGGTTCTAGATCCAACAGTAGGCATAGGCAAATAACAAAATTAGATGATGCACCACCTGATTTTTAGGCTCCTGGGCCTCGTGTCCATGAGGCTAGGTTTTCCCTGCAGCGCAGGGAGAGAGAGAGTTATCTCAGAATGGGATCCAGTACAGCCAGTGAGCTGAGCGGGGATTATTAGCACCCTTCTATCTTACAAAGGCAGCACTAGGATGTATATGTTGCACATTGTGAGGCACTCACTTATACTATACCTTTTTTGGCAGAAAATTCAGGTGCATTAATTGCACATGTAGACGCTCCCTTATTGTAGCAAATGTTAAAGAACTACAACACTCATCAGGAACTATATATCTATATCTGTATGTATATATATATATATATATATATATATATATATGTATGTGTATATATATATATATACAGATATAGATATATAGATATAGATATATAGATATATATCTATCTATATACATACAGATATAGATAGATAGATAGATATTGATATATCTATCTATCTATCTATCTATCTATATCGTTTTTGATGAGTTCAGTAGTTCTTTAACATTTGCTACAATAATGGAGCATCTACATATGCAATTAATGCATCCTGAATTTTCTGCCCAGAAAACTCATGCTCTCCCTGGAGCATGTCAAGCAACTCATGATGTCCCTGGAGCAATTTGCACCCCCATTGCAAATTGAGCCTGGTAGGAGCAGCCCAGTCCAGGGTCATTGCCCTGCTCTGCCCGCCCGGCAGCAGCCAGGAGGAGCTTCAGGCTCCTCCAGGTGCCGGCCCTGGACTGGAAGGGGGCATGTGGGCTTAGCCCTGAGCTCTAGAGGGTCTGGGGGAGCTGTCCCAGCTTGGCAGACAGCTCCGTATCAGCCAGGGGGAGATCAAGCTGGAGGAAGTGGGGGGATGGGGACAGAGGTGTTCCAGCCGGACGGGTAGCTGCCTTCAAGCCATGTGGAGATTGGGACCCATGCCGATCTCCATGTGGCTGGGAGGCAGCTGCCTGGCAGCCGGGGTAGCTCTCCCAGCCATGTGGAGATCAGGACCGGTCCTTATCTCCATGTGGCTGGCAGGCAGCATCCTGCTGAGTTGGAACAGGTCTCCCCGGTGCCTGTGGCCCCTTTCTGCATAGGCTGATGGGGAGCAATTTGCTCCCAGTCAGTGTCTACACGTGCAGTATGGTGCATTAGTTAATGCACTGTTTTTCTAGTACCTGTATCTACAAGAACTAGAAAACAGCATATTAGGCTAATATACTCTGCAGTAATTGGTGCACATGTGTGACGGTGATGTTTTACTGCACATTAGATTAGTCTAATGAGCAGCAAAACATCTTGTTTAGATGCACCCAAAGAAAAGCATGAAACTCGAGAAGCTATTTCAAATTAGTCATTAACCTGGTATCAGAAGATTTAAACGAGTGGAAAAATTTTACCAGGTTTCAGTAGCTCAATGGGACAGACAGAATAAAGGCATCCTGTCTCACAAAAAGTTTTAACTTAGCAAAACATTTCCCCATCTCAAACTGGGATCACAAATCAATATCTCAGTTTTGGGGGGGGTGTGCGGGAAATTGATAATCCAATGAATCAAACAATCAAATCCATTTGGGTCAGGTGAAATGTTTTGTTTCAGTAATTTCAACAAAATTTGTTTCAGTTTTGACCAGTTTAATTCTTTGAATGGTTTACTTTACGTATCTTATTCTTTTTCATTCTTTTGGGGTTTTTTGCTAAAGTTTTTTCAGACCAGAAAAATAGATATTTTTATTTTGAAAATGTTGCAGGCTTCCCCCGCCCCTCCCCACCCGCAAATGTATGAAATAAAAAAAATCCCGTGAAACCATCTCTTCCTTGAAAAAACTCCTGATTTAGGCTACTATCCATGCTCTAAACATGTTGGCTTTCCTGATGCTCATAGGTTCATTGCCAATTCGTATTCATAAACTAATCAGCACCCTAAAGACATGGCCAAGTGACCAGAGCTGCTGTCATGTTCGGGGCAGTGATGACTTCTGCTTGCCACTGCTGTTACTGCCGTGGTCTTGATGGTGCGGCAGCAGCCAGTTATTTCTGCCCCCTTTTCCCCACCCCCCAAGTCAGTGCCCAGGGCAGCTGCCCCAAATTCCCCTTCCTACTTTAACCACTGAATCTAAATCACAAAATCTCTTTGATTTGTATTTTGATTAAGCAAGAAGTGTCCTGTTCAGTGGGTCACAATAATTTAATCAGCTGGAGCTAAGTGACCTTCTCCAGATCTATTCTTTATTGGAAAGAATACTATTCATATTCTACACATCAAGGACTTGAATGAAAGTCAACTGAAATCTTTGAGATTTTCATATCAATGTCCTTTGAGTCAAGTGCTGTTGAACAAGCACCCAAAGTTAATTGTCCTGGGTCCCTGGTTTTTGTGTGGCAGTTCATACTGCAGCAGTCAGAAGCAGAAAACTACAGATTTTCTCATCAGTGACCTACAGTTGACATGTTCTTTGTGGATTTTTTATCTATTCACAGAAAACCCGATATACCTCACCTACACATAGTTTCAGATAACATTTGTTACCATCAACCTTGCCCTTGGCGGTCATCCCTAGCTATTTAGTTGACCAGCCTCAATGTTTCTTCAGAATGAGTATAAGGTTTTATAATTTACACTGAGAGATGTGTGGGCATAGACAGACCACTGCGTGTGTTAGCAAAATCCTCTACCGTGCAGCATCCCACTGCTGAAATGGGCATTTCCCATTTCTGGCTTATCTAATCTCCAGTGCAAAATACCAGAAACGAGACTAGTACTGTGATAGCAGAAAGAAATAATATTGTTAAAGGGCACTTTATCTCTTTAAATGCCATTCTGCAGCAGAGATCTGTGTAGCATAAAACTGAAAAGATGTAAAAAACCGCAATAGGGGATGGTAACACAGGACCTGACAATCAATTCATGACTACACTTTGGGATGCATTTCCTAAACCAAAATTAACAAAAGTGAGCAGAATATATTAAAACTCAAATACCCTTTCTGCCAAGTTTGCCAACTAAGCATTTCTTTTGCTTATTATTTCATAAGTGCTTAATAACTATGATGATGCTCGTTGGGTTGTAAAACAGTGATAAGTATTAGGTAAAGCAAGCTAGAAGCAACTCTTGTGATCCAACCAAGCCCAAATGCTTAAACACATATAACATCAGTGAGCACCATCAGAGGTGTTCTTTCTCCTTCTGTTCTTCTCTGTTTTTTCCTTCTCTAACCCAGGTTTCCTAATAATCTTTTGTCTTCTCCTTGGAACAAACCACAGAGATCCAGCATATATCTATTATACAATCTCCCATGAGACAAAGGGTCTTCATTTCTGCTTCTGCTGTGTGTGGCCTCCAGAGACATAAAAGCTAAGCAGCCTCTGAATATCTGCCTCTTGGGGGGGGGAAAAAAAGGTGGAATTGGTGCTTACTTCAGCAGATGTCTCAATAATCAGGTTGAAAGAAGACCGTCTTGCAACCCAGGCTATTGCAGCGAGGAGGTCTTTGGAGGCATAGGGGTTGGATCGTGTCGGGGTTGTGGGGACAGGGAGACAACATATGGCAATGTAGGATGTGATGACAATCACAAGACTTGGTTGCAGGGTCGGTCCCGGCGCTCTGAGGCATCCTAGGATGCTGTGTGAGTGCAGAATGCTTGGAGCTCACGGTGCATTTGGACTTTATAATGTGTCTGGAGGGTATAGCCCTTTTCACAGGCATAGGATCGCGGAGGCCATGGATGAAAACCTTGTGAAACCTTTGGGGGAAGAGGCTGAACCAAAGGACCATCAACCATGTGCAAAGGATGCACTGCATGCATGACCAGGCAGAGCTGGAGATGAAGGTGGATTTCTTGAGGCAGGAGCTAGGACTGCCGCGGTTTGTGTTTGAAGAGGTAAGTCGCCTCCCATTCGACCCAGGTGGAAGTTCAGCATTAATTATTCCTGCTTCTGAATTAAAGGAGAGATGACTGTATATATCTCACTGTCAAAGCCCTTCATTTTGGACTTTAGGAGTGATGGGACCATCAAATCCATCCCCCAACTTTGTCTGCAGGCTCATGGCTTTTTCACTAACACTGGTAGCTAGTTCCTTTTGGGAACATGAGCAGAGCAAGACGAGACTGGACATTCAAGAAGAGACTGGATAGTCACCTCGCTGGGGTCACTTGACCCCAGTTGTCTTCCTGCCTAGTGCAGGGGGGCTGAACCCCATGATCTGCGAGGTCCCTTCCAGCCCCTTACAATCTATGTATCTATGAATCTATAACAAAGGGACTAATGCTTGAATGAGACTTCAGGCATCCTTCAGGAACAAGCGCACATGAAAAACCATCTCTGTGACACCTCCATCACTGTGAAAATGGATGACTCCAGGGACCTGGATGTGGCGAGCATCTGCAGAAGCATCAAATGCTGGTATCAGGACATTGCTAGGAGGGGCAAAGTAGAAGGCAAAGCTTTGTACAAGAACAAGGTAAGTATTGAATGACAGGGGTCTGCTGTCTTACCATATTATCTTGCCTACCACACACCTCCAAATAAGACGTACTTTGGAGTTGTGGCCTAGAGCTGACTTTTCATGGAGAAGCTGTGACGCGAAGTAGCTCCCAGCCTTGGTCTCAGCCAGCAAGCTGAGTGGCTGTGAAAACATGAATACAGCATCCCCCCTCTCCTGCGTGCTTGCTTGCTGAGAGGGAAGTTGGCAGGCATCTTTGTACTCTTATTCTCCCAAAGAAAATCAGCTTCTCTGCCTAGGATGCAATCCAAACTTGGAAGGCTGACATTTAGGGGGAAAGGTGGGAGTGGTACGAGTTTAAATATCATATGCAGGTTACATACAAAACCCCCTGTTTCTGGATAACAGTTTCAGGAGCTTTAAAAGAGAAGAGGCAGATTCTGCAGTGATCTGAAGGGTGAGATGGCAGAGCTGGCCCATTGATCCAGCAGAAGCTGTTGTGTGAGGCTGACAATGCGGGCGAGCAGGTAAGAAAGATTTTGGGGCTCTGATTTTCTAACAACTGAATTTTGTTTTTGAGAATGATGCCTTTATGTCTGTGATATACAGTTTCCCCCCCTTGGGCAGTAGCTAGCATTAAATTTGTGAGAGCACTGACAAATTGCATAAAAACACAGAATATGTTACACACACACACACACACACACATATATATGCACATATGTACAAATGTGAAATATGTGTGTGTGCATGTGTGTGTGTGTGTGTGTTTCACTGTATTTAAAAAATGAATGTATCGATTCCAATGCTTACCTCCTTGCAGAGGGGCTGGGCAATGGGGGTGGGAGGGCAGCCAAGAACGGGGAATCTTATCTGCTTATGTCCTCTGTCGTGGTACCCTGATTGGGAATCACTGCTCTACACTGGATGCCCACCTGGCTGGGGTTATTTGACCCCATCAATCTTTCCTGCCCAGAGCAGGGGGGCTGGACCTGATGATCTCACGAGGTCCCTTCCAGCCCTAAACTTCTGTGAATCTGTGACTGCGTGAATAAATATTAAGTTCTCTCTCTTAGGTCACAAGGTTTAACTCCCTTGGGTTCTGTGTCATGATGATCCCATAGAAATTTCAAGATGAAAGAGGGCTGACAAAGACCTGACAAAGCAAGAAAGACAAGTCTTTGAGGGAGAGTTTATCAGAGTTAAAATATAGTTGCACAATTTGGTTTCAGGTCCGACTGCTTGAGCAGCAGAATAAGGTGCTGACGACCAAGTGGGACCTCTTGCAGCAGTGCATCGTACCGGGGACGAGGAGAAACCTGGAGCCTCTTTATGAGAGTTTTATCTGCAACCTGAAGAAGCAGCTGGAGCATTTGTTATGTGATAGGGACAAACTGATGTGCGAAGAGAAAGCAGCAAATCACCTTGTGGATGAGTTCAAGTGCAAGTAAGTACGTAGAAGTAGAAGAGGAAGAAGAGTGCAAACCCTGTTCGCATCAGGCTTCCTGTTCTCTGGGCTACGTGCAGAGATACGGTTGATTGAGCCCTCTCTCCTCCTCCGTCCTCCCTACAGGTATGAAGAGCAAATCAACAGGCGCACAGCTGCAGAGAACGAGTTTGTGGTGCTCAAGAAGGTAATTCAGGCTACAAAAGCGCCAGGCCAAACAATGCGATATTCTTTGCCTTTCCCTTTCAATTCAGCACCGAGCAGGATCCTTATCTTGCTCGACAGTTAGGTTCGATTAAGTCCAGTGACCCAGGCTAGACTCTGGCCTTCAATTCCCAGCCCTGAATTGCCCTGGGGAAGGTGAACTCGTTGCTGCCGTTATCACTGGGTAGGCGGCTTCTGTATAAGCTGTCCTTCTCGTGACCATGGCATGCGGGCACGATGGTGGAAAGCAAGGGGGTGGCAGAACAGAGCACTACCGCACCATTTAGTAAAACCAGAGCAGCCCATGGGCTGCCGTAATGGATACTGGGACGCGGCTGCCATATAACCACACAGATAGCAAACCTCGAGGGGAGGAGAAGGCCTGATTCTCATTGACACTGAAATCCCTTCCAGCCTCTCTGACAGCATAACTGGTTGGGGAACATATTTATTTAAACTTGTGGGAACATCCATATGTTGCATAAAACAACAGGCAAATCATGCCGAATCTCTTAGCCATCTTCCTGGCAGTGCTTTAACTTTATCCTGAACATATGGATTTCAACTGGAAGGAGAAATTAAAAGCTTCAGAAGTGTTATAGACTTAATCTGGAATTGAAATGGGGAAAATCATCCCATTGTCTTGGAAAGGAGCTAATTCCATTTTTCCTTTGAGGCTGCCTGTCTACAAAGAGCAAGTTGTGACGCTAAGCAACAAGGGGACTGTGTCCCTGGAGATGCCTGGGACATGCTGCTTGAATTGAAGAATGTCCTGAAGGAGGTCAAAGATGAGCTGGCATGCATGGTGTTGGGATTACCAGGAACTACTGAATGTCAAGGTCACCCCTAGACAGTGAGATTGCCACATACCAGACACTGCTGGAGGGAGAAGAAAAGAAGTGATTATCTTTGGGTGTGTCATGCCTAGTCTCAACAGCTCATTGAATATTCAGCGAGGCTAGAATTAATGTAATAATCAGAAGAAACAGAATGTGTAACATTTCCATATGCAGGAGACTACCAAACTCCAAGAATATATACTGGGATTCTCACTCAAACATAAGGGAGTTGCATACTCCACTCTTACAGCATTTGCAATTGGAACTGGATTTGCATCCCACCCTTTATGTGAGGGATACAGGTCTAGGGATGAAGGATATGGCTTCCTACAAGAGGCATTCAAAAGAAGTCCAGAAGTCTTCCCTATAAGGGTAGCCCTCCCAGAAGATGGAGACTATAGATTCATCTCCAGTTCCAACATAGGTTGCCCATACCTCCCTGGAAGTACAGGCTGCTCTCCACTTGTTCCAGTAATGGAGGTTGCAGAAGGGTAGTCGATTTTAGAGCTGGAAGACGGGGCACCAAATGCTTAGGAAGCTCTTTAAGTGGAGGATAGTGCTGGAGTTTTATGTAGATTCATAATTGGAGGGCCCACCTTTGCAGTTGAAAGGAGCTGTGTAGCATTGAGGGATATGTACTGGCTGTTGGTAGTGCTGTAGGTAGATGTGTCCTGGCTGTAGGTAATGCTTGGAGCTCATGCTGTAGGTAGATGTGACCACTGATTTCTAGGTGGCACGGTCAGGACCGGGACAACATAAGTTGATGTTTCTGGAAGGACACAAAATACATTCTCCCTCTATTAGCATCGGCATGTATTTCAACATCCCTTCCCAACTACAGCCATTTATTAGGATATCCAACGTGTCTCATGGCAGTTCTGGTTTCTGAAATTTCCTCAGTTTGAAAGTCTTTCTGTGTTTTTCTCAACACAGGCTTACTGAAGGTTTTATTTCTCTTGGTCTATATTGCCTTTGTCTTTGTCTGACACTATAGCCAAGATTAGGCAATGTCTTTGCTATTGAAGCAGGGTTGGACAGGCCTGGTAAGTGTGACTTATCTCAGTTACTGAGTTTTTCTTTTTGTCCTGGCAATTTTATAGCTAAATTTCTCTTTATTAGGAAACTCCCTCCTCTTATAGCACTTTCTAAAATGCTTCAGGAAGGGAAGAAAGACATCAATTGTCCTGGATGAGACTATGACAAGCATTTTTCTCCCTTTGTGACACCTGGCATCTAGGCCCGGTCCCTGAAAGTTGTAAAGGACCGCAGTCAGTCAATGGGAAATCAATTGAAGCTAAGTACCTAAACCCCTTTGAGCATCTGGTACCTTGTTTCTAAAGCCCTTTGTGACTGTACAGAGGACTGTGAGAGTTGCGTCGGCTTCGCATCTCATTCCTATTGAGCCTCACTATAACGCCATCGGATGTGATTTTTATATAGACAAAATTGTAATATTATTGTGCTGAGTGTCAAGTGCGCTCAATTTTCTGTGTTGCCAGTAATAAACCGTGTGTGTAGGGGATGCTTTGTTACCAGTCTTGTTTTTAATTAAACCTTTCATAGGATTACCAGTTTGAGGCCGTACTAGTTATGCCTCATACTGGAAAGCTACTAAGTCTGGTGAGATTTTCAAAGCCTCTAGAGTTCCCAGCTCCAGTGGCTTGACTATATCTCCCATGGTATACCATAGTCTCCCTTCCCACTGCAGGGTATTATGGGAATCCAGGGTCACAATAAATGGTTGCCGGGGTAGAATTTGACTGTAGAGCTGGTTGCAGAGAGGAATGCAACGCACGCTTAGAGTTAATAAGTCTGCGCTTCTTTTGCTTACTTCAGATGGGAATATGTTAAGTGTGTTCATATTCTTGGCTGAATAAAGGCCACCTGTAAAGCTCGACAGTTGCTTCCCACTTAGTGGAAGAAAGATCCTTGATATCCTGTCTTTCATCACAAACAAGGCAAGGAGAGCAAGTCAGCAAGTGCATTGAAGAAAATCTTGGCGTCTGAATGGTTCTAGTTCAGTGCATGGCAGAAAAAAAGCAACTATTAAAATCACTTTGCATTAACCTCAAGGAAGTCAATATTATGCTTGTGCAGGGGGCTGGGCAGGATGATCTTCCTAAGTCCCTTCCCGCCCCTTACAAACTATGAATCTATGAATTATAAGCAGAGTCAAGGCCTGTTAAACTGCATGGCTTTGAATTGGATTTTCTGAGACCTCAGTAATTAAGAAACAAACCCCACAAGCACTGCCTTCATCTTCTTCTCAATAATGTGCAGCGTAAGTAGCAATGCTCAAGTTACTTGGGGACACGGGAAGGGAAAAAAAGCAAATGTTGAAGCGCAGCATTGGCACCTTGCACTCACCGTGAAAAATGCTGGCAGTATTACCTGTGGAGGAAAGGATATGTGTAAGAGAGATCCCAGTTCACTGAAGGCAGGGACAATACTTTAAAGAAAGCAATGCTTTTATTCCTGCAAATCGAGACCGAGAGCATCATGCAAAACTTTAGAGAATGAGAAGCCAGAGGGTGTTTTCAATACCAAACAGGGGAGGTACAGTTTCCATATCCCATTCCCAATCCAGTTTCACACTCAGAGGTCCTCTACAGTGATTTTGCCCAAATTCTAATAAAGGTGTTAGACTTTCCAAGCACCGACAAGGACTTTGGCTACTTAAGCATTACCTTAATTAGAGCTACATTCAATACTTTTGAAGGTAGCATCGCACCGCTGATTGACCTTAAACACAGAGAAGAATAGAAAAAAACCCACCTTTCTGTTCAATATGAGGAACTGTAGATGTCGTGAGCCTGTTCTTTATCTTCCTACTTTCTCTCTTAGTGACAGCCAATCCATATTTCCAGCCCCATTCAAAATCCCTTTAACGTTTTTAATTAAGCAGGTATTAATCTCCTCATTAAAGGCATTGCAACAGTAACATCAAACAGACGCGGGACAAGAATAAGGGGGGAAATGCTAGCTGCAGTTTCTCAATATGTTTCTAGCATCTCATCTCGGCCTTGTTTACTGATACTGCAAAATTTTCGGTCCGAGAATTGTAAGTGGATGCCAGGCAAATCACACCCAGATATGAGCAAAGAAAAACCACAATTATCCCCTGACAACTGTCACCCGTACACACTAATTAGCTACACATGCTTTGAAGTAGGTGCCCAAGTATTTTTCATAAGTCCTCTGCGTTGTACCTGCCATGCTAGAAAGCAGCATTTCTCAAGCCTGCCGGACCAACCCACCACCTCCAGACTCACTAATTCTCATGGATCGCTATGCAGACCCTATCAAACGTTTAATTGAAAAGGGGTGAGGGAGCAACCTGATGACCACTTGCCATGAACTCCTAGGTCACAATTTGGGACCACTGCTATTTGGTGTGGCTGCAGTTTAAATAAATATACCCAAGCTAGCTTTCTATGAGCAAATGTGTACTCCTAATAGTGTCAATAGAGCAGCACAAAATGGAGGAGAGGCTCGAAAACCCAAACAAAGACTTAGGGAATCATCCATCCTTGGCTACGCTGTTATTGGTACCCAAGCTGGCTAGCTGAAAACCAGCTGTGGTCCCAGGTTTGCATACAGTGTAGAGACACGCAGTGAAATGTGGCATCTTAGATGTTCATAAGAATGACTTCCAAATCCTGTGTTATTGGGTCTTGACAGAGATGCGTTTCTCCTACCATGAGCGGACCACTGTTCCTGTCTAGCAGCAGAATCCAGCTAGGCGAGAAATGCCCCAAAATGGAGTATTAAAGAGTAATTCTGCAGGATGATCTTGCATATAATTATCAAATGCTGTGGTGAAACTCCTCTGTAAACAAGCCATGAAGAGCCGCTTGAATTATTTTGCAAAACTATAATTACACTCCGAGGAAGTAGATTAATTAAGTAAAATATAAGTCCTGAAACTGAAGCTTGCAAGCAAAGCGATATTTTAATTTCACGTTATTTCACGAGAGGGAGAGAAATGTTTGCTTTAGAGATTGGCACATTGGAAGCCATTTTTTGCTGCCAGGCAAACCAAACCCAATGGATAAATTAAACATTTCTGCATCCCATGCAGCTCCTGGAACCTATATAAGGAGAAAGCCCTTTCCTCAAGTCAAAGGAAACCTCTTTCCTTGACTTCCTGTGCTCCTCTTGCATTACTGCTGTACTTGCATCAGTTTATTTGCACTCTCAAGGAGCCACCATGAGTCGACAGTGCTTCTCCTCTAGGGGCTTCTCTTCCTCTTCTGCTGTGTGTGGCTTTGGCCGGGGTAATGGCAGCTCAGCCTCTGTTGGCTGGTCCCCTGGAAGGGGATATGGTGGCTTCAGCAGCAGAAGTGTCTGTGACCTTGGCAGAACAGCAAGAATATCTTTTGGTGGAGGCTACCCAAGTAGGGGCTACCCAAGTGGGGTCTATGGAGGCTTTGGCATTGGACGTTGTGGTGCCTATGGTGGTGGTGCAGCCTACGGTGGCCATATGGGTCTTGGCAATGCTGTATGTTTTGCCGGCGTTGGAAGTCACGGAGGCTTTGGAGGTCACAGAGGAGCATTTGCAGGGTTTGGAGGTCCCTGCAGAAGTGAAGGTATCCGAGGTGTCAACATCCACCCGGAGCTGCTAAAGCCACTTGCTGTGGGGCTCGACCCAGCTGAATGTCAAGTGCGAACGCACGAGAAGGAGCAGATAAAGAACCTCAATAACAAGTTTGCCTGCTTCATTGATAAGGTAAGACCATGCAAGCCTTGGTGTATTTGGGAGACTACTTGGCTAAAGGATTGCCTACAAACTCTGAGGACTAGAGGTCCCTTCCAGGCTTACACGCCTATATTTTATTTCGTGAAAATAAAAAGAGAAAGAGGGATGAAACAGAGCTTTACATCTGAGTCTGCAATCTAGACTTCTCCGGCGTTCGGAGGTGGAATACTTCGCTTCGTAGCTTAGTTGCCAGTGGTACGCTGGGATAGTATCGGTTGCTATTCCTTTCCTTCCTATTTATATCCGAGAATCCTTGTATCTCAAATTTTAATGGTTTCTAACTAGAACTACACCACAGTTTTCTGCTGTACGGAGAGGCCATTTTGGGTTTAGACATTTTTGGAGACTACTAATTTTTAGTTAAGCCAGGGTCACCATCAGTGAATTAAGTCGGGCTGTTGTATGAAACTGATACCTTAGAAGTGAGTCATTAAGGTTTACGGAAACAGTTTAGAGACCGGTATTGGAAATCTCTGATTTTCACAAGCAATAAACCTCCCTTCTGCATAGGTATGCACCAAAAATCCTCATAAATGCAGGATGAATTTTGTGAGGTTCAATAACGTGAGCTGTAGCCCAGGAATATACATAGTTCAAGGTTCATCGCTGAAAGGAAACAGCTTTTGTGATCTCAGCCTCTTAAATGTAATGCAGTTGTTTTAATGAACCACAGGTGTTATTTGTCTATTATTGCCATTATTATTGCTATTTGTAATAGTTTTATTAATAATAGTAGTAGTAATAATAAAAATACTAATTGTTTATTGCTTTTGCTGAAACTAGGTTCTTTAAAGTAAACTAAACAGGGAAAATAATTTTAAAGATTTCTCCCCTTTTTCTTTTACATAGGGCCGTATTGTAACGAAGCCTAACTGGTTAAGATTTCTTCTCCTTTTTTTTTTTTACCATTAGAAATACTGGCCATTCAAGTGATAATTTCACTCGTACTCCCTTTCTCTCTTCCTCTTTGAGCATTGGTTGAATGACTAAGAAATGTGTTGCTGGAAAGGAGTAGTCCATTATTCCCATAACTGAAAATCAGGAGGTGACTGGATAACACTATGGAGAAGATATCTGATATTAAAAAGCGCTCTTTAATCAAGAAGGGTGTCAAGAACAAAACAGCTGGAAGTGAGCTGGAAGTTAGCAGTAAGACACCACTTTTCAAACGTGAGAATGATGAATCATTTCAAAAGGAAATAGTGGATACCTCATCTTTTGATGTTTTAAAATAAGCCTGGATTTCTCATATGTTTTAATCCAACACCAGGTATTGCTCAATTCAAGAGTAACAGGGTACAATTCTCTGGTCTATGTTATGCAGGATGTCCAGCTAGTTCATCTAATGCTTCACTCTGGTCTTAAATGTCTATGAATTTTTTTGAAAAAGCAGAGTTATTTAAAACTTATCAAAATACTTTCTTCCAAATGTTCTTTTTTAAAGAATTGTTAAGTTTAAGTTTCTAGACTAGGGGGTTCTCAACTTTTTTAGACTCAAAGCACCCCTCATTAGATTCAAGGCACCCCTCATAGGACTCAAGGCACCCCACCAAACCTTATGTGAATTGTGTGGCATCCTATTTCAAAGACTAATTTATTGATTCCAGTGCTTACCTCCATGCAGAGGGGCTGGGAGAGCAGCCAGGCAAGGAGAAACTCATCTGCTTATTTCTTGCATCGTGGTTGACAATCACTGCTCTAGCCTGTGCGAATAAATATTAAGTTCTCTCTCTTAGGTCACAAGGTTTAACTCCCTTGGGTTCTGTGTCATGATGATCCCATAGAAATTTCAAGATGAAAGAGGGCTGACAAAGACCTACACCTCTTCTCTGACAAAGCAAGAAAGACAAGTCTTTGAGGGAGAGTTTATCAGAGTTAAAATATAGTTGCACAATTTGGTTTCAGGTCCGACTGCTTGAGCAGCAGAATAAGGTGCTGACGACCAAGTGGGACCTCTTGCAGCAGTGCATCGTACCGGGGACGAGGAGAAACCTGGAGCCTCTTTATGAGAGTTTTATCTGCAACCTGAAGAAGCAGCTGGAGCATTTGTTATGTGATAGGGACAAACTGATGTGCGAAGAGAAAGCAGCAAATCACCTTGTGGATGAGTTCAAGTGCAAGTAAGTACGTAGAAGTAGAAGAGGAAGAAGAGTGCAAACCCTGTTCGCATCAGGCTTCCTGTTCTCTGGGCTACGTGCAGAGATACGGTTGATTGAGCCCTCTCTCCTCCTCCGTCCTCCCTACAGGTATGAAGAGCAAATCAACAGGCGCACAGCTGCAGAGAACGAGTTTGTGGTGCTCAAGAAGGTAATTCAGGCTACAAAAGCGCCAGGCCAAACAATGCGATATTCTTTGCCTTTCCCTTTCAATTCAGCACCGAGCAGGATCCTTATCTTGCTCGACAGTTAGGTTCGATTAAGTCCAGTGACCCAGGCTAGACTCTGGCCTTCAATTCCCAGCCCTGAATTGCCCTGGGGAAGGTGAACTCGTTGCTGCCGTTATCACTGGGTAGGCGGCTTCTGTATAAGCTGTCCGTGGGCTGCCGTAACGGATACTGGGATGCGGCTGCCATATAACCACGCGCATAGCAAACCTCGAGGGGAGGAGAAGGCCTGATTCTCATTGACACTGAGATCCCTTCCAGCCTCTCTGACAGCGTAACTGGTTGGGGAGCACATTTATGTTCCCTTTAATGTCCCTGGTGGCATACAGAAGCCTGTTGGGGGGTGTTTCGATTTCCCCCAGCAATGCCCCAAAGGAAGGCTGGCGATTTGAGCTGCCCCTTGCAAAAAGCCCCAGGGCTTTGCTAGGGTCTCTATTTTCCCCTTTCCATCAATGAACACCATTTCTGTGGCTTCTCTTCAGGATGTGGACTGCCTGCACCTGACTAAGGAAGAGCTGGAGATTAGGGTGGCACTCTTGAGGCAGCAGCTGGAATTCCTGACCTGCATATTTGCTGAGGTATGGATAGCTTCTAGGTCTATAGACACTCATCCCAAGGGCGTATCACTCCACTGCTTTTCTGAACACATCCAGAGGGCTAGGATGATCAAACCCAATGAAAGCCAAAGCTTTTTCTTTATTCATTTCTCTAAGCGTTCTAGGAAGCATTAAATACGTGTCCAACTCAAAAGGTCCACACAACTTCTGTGGTCCATTTGGCGAACGTGGTCCAACAATAGGTTTCCATAGGCAGAGATACACATGGGAACCATGTGTTTCACATCAGGTCTGGCTGCTTTTGTCTCTCCAGGCTGAATGACAAGGTAGTCACGTAATTCTGCATCTTCTGGGGGTGGCTTTCTGCACAAGGCCACAACTCTCATCTCTGGATCTGCCATGAGACAATTTTGCCACTTCAACCCATCTGTCTCTTCTGATACAAGACATTTATGTATTTAGAAATAGAGTATTATGATTATGATTACTTTACCAACAATTATGGCGACCAATAGGCTGTTATTCCACAGTTCTGGTTGAAAATTAGGACTTACCTTTGCATGAAAAAAGTTTGACTTTTCATCAAAATCCTGGAAACCAGGCAACTAAAACTCACTGTGTCAGCCGTTCCCACCCCCTAAAATAGCTGAAAGCTGAATATATTCAGGATTTCAGTTTTCTGATGAAAGATCAAGATGTTTGGAGGCTTATGGATACCCCCTGCAAAACAATTTCATAAGTCATTACCCAACCACTGTTGGCCTTGTCCTTTAGGAGCATAGCCCATGCGTGGGAAGTGAAAGCAAGTATACCAAGCAACCAAACCATTTAACAACCTGTTTCCATTGACTTTAATGATATGACAATATAAGATGGAAGAATCCATCCCAAAGGCTTAAAACAACCCATAAAGATGACAGCATAACATGATATGTGGTGTTGCATAACAGGGTCTTAAACTATAAAACTCCATATTTTATCCTTCATCAGGAAGCTAGGCAATGGCCTGATAGTATAGATCCACAGCTGGTCCAGCCTCCTGTCCTTGTACCCTATAGTACCTGGATCTAATCCTGCATCCTGGATAACTTAGACCCTACTTATGGGTTTTGAGAGAAAGGAGTTGCATCCTCCCAAATTCTTCATGTGCCCACAAAAAAACTCTTTTCCCTTGGGCTGGGAGAGCAGGCTGCTAATTCAGCCTGCATGAAGAGCGAGGAGAGGATGGTAGTCTAACACCTTGTGTGTCCTGCAGGAGCGAGCTCAGATGGATTGCCAGCTCTGCGACACCTCTGTCATTGTGGAAATGGATAACAATCGAGGCCTGGACATGGACAGCATCATCAACAGCGTTAAGTGCTGCTATGAGGAGATCGCTCACAAGAGCAAAGCAGAAGTGGAGGCTTTCTACCAAACCAGAGTGAGTAACCACATAGCCATAGTGTCTGGAAATGAAGCTGTAATCCTGATACGCAAATACTTCCACCAAAACAGGGACACGGACCCTATTTGCTTTCTTGTCTGCCAGGAGAAATGGTAAAAAAATATCTCCATTCTGTGACAGACGGCAAGGCATACTTGAAAGCAGAACAATTTACTCTGTACTATCCAGTCCATAGCTCAAAATGGAGTATTTCCATAAAATAATATACCTCATCTGTTATTGAACTGCAAGGTTATTAGGGTAGTATCTAAGAGCTCCAGCCATGGATCGGGACTTCATTGTAGGAACATGGAACAAGGAGAAAATCTCAAAGAGCTCACAAACATAACCTGATTTGGAGCTCATTGGTGGATTCCCTTCTTTATAGTGATGTCACACACACCTATTTCCACCAAATAAGCAAGTTATGGGACTCAATACATAGGATTGTAGGACTAGAAGAAACCACGTGGGTCATCAAACCTGTCCCTAGCAATTGCTGGAAAACATATAATAAAGGTTTATCTAGAAAGTCACTTACTTCCACTTCTCCCACAAGATGTAGCCTCATAACACCCCTTTATACCCCCAAACATGGGATCTTTGGTAGAAAAAAAGAAACAGAGCCCTACAAAGAAAACTCTACCATGTTCCACCGAAAGGACTCAGGAGAGACAAGAGCCGCCATCAAGCCTTGCCTCCTGCTGTTGCTCCAGCTCTGGAAAGGGATGCTATCCATTTCTAACAAACCTTCTTGTTTCTGGATTCTAGCTAGAAGAGCTTCACACCAACAGGGGCAAATACTGCGATGACCTGAGGATCAGCCAATGTGAGATTGCAGACCTGAAGAGGGGAATCCAGAAACTGCAGGGCGAGCTTGATGGTGTGAAGAAGCAGGTAGGAGAGATGGGGGTTTTCTTCAGCAAGCCTCCCATCAGCATGCTGTCTAGGCATCAGAGAGGTGCCAGGTCAGTCCTATTTTAAGTAGGATTAAAGTGGCAGATGGTTCCCTATGGCTGGGCCACTATACAGGAGTGTGGTTCAGGGCCTTGTGAGCAGAGTCTGCACCTGGCTGTGATTTTGAGCCTGAAAATGCAGCGTTTGCAAGCTCAGGAATTTCTAGTTTGGGGTCCCTCACTACAGAAGGATGTGGACAAGCTGGAGAGAGTCCCATGGAGGGCAATGAACATGGTTCAGGGGCTGCGGCACATGACTTGTGAGGAGAGGCTGAGGGGACTTGGGCTTATTTAGGCTGAAGAAGAGAAGACCAAGGGGGGATTGAATAGCAGACTTCAGCTGCTTGAAGCGGGGTTGCAAAGAGGATGGAGCTGGACTGTTCTTAGTGGGGCAGATGACAGGACAAGGAGCAATGGGCTCCAGTTGCAGCAAGGGAAGTTGAGGTTGGATATTAGTTAAAAAGGTCTCATGAGGGGGGTAGTAAAACACTGGAACAGGCTACCCAGAGAGGTGGTGGAGTCTCCATCCTTGGAGGGTTTTGAGACCTGAGTAGACAAAGCCTTGGATGGGATGATGTAGTTGGGGCTGTTCCTGCTTGGAGCAGGGGGTTGGACTAGATGTGACCTCCTAAGGCCTCTTCCAACCCGCATTTTCTGTGATTCTGTGAATTTAACCTTTGGTGAATTTAGCTGACATGGGGGACCAGGGCATCAGCTGTCATTAACTGTTATGGCTCTTTTGAATTAAATCCACTTCAGTGGATCTGAGTTCAGTGGAATAAAAGATCTAACCCATGGACTAATACATACTTAGCTGAAGGAAGTACTTACCTTGAAGGAAAGGGGTTCAGGAAAAATTCATACCTTGGAAGCTTTAGTGTCCCCACCTTATCATTGCCCATGAGACCCTCTGATCTCATCTGTCTACTGATAAGACATTGCAAATGCATCTGATTTAAATAGTCAAACAGTTATTTGGAGGAAACATGGAGGCAATATTTGACCAACCTGATGAAAGAGCTGCTACGTGACCCTTCCCTGGGGGGTGGTTCTTCTTGTTCATAGATCGGATGCCTAGAAACAGCCATTTGTGACGCTGAGCACCATGGGGACTGTACCCTCAAAGATGCCCGGGAGAAGCACATCAACCTGCAGACTGCATTGCAGCAGGCCAAGGATAAATTGGCCTGCTTGCTGCGGGACTACCAGGAGCTGCTGAATGTCAAGCTGGCCTTGGATATTGAGATTGCAACATACAGGTCACTACTGGAGGGAGAAGAAAGCAGGTGGGTGATGCATCATTTGAAGCTGCCCTGTTGGTATTTGATAGGCACAGAGGCTTGACCGTGATACGCCAGGTCTTATCAGCTCTTCAGCACTAATCCTTTTCTTTCCTTCACAGGATATGTACAGGGACTCCTGCATGCATATGTAAGTAAACTCTTTCCAAGCAGTCATTTCCAATTCCCCTTATTGCTCTTAGAGGTACTGACCATCTGTTTTCTCCTCAGCTGTGGTCAGCGGCGGCTGCACCATCGGCGACAACCTTGCCGTAGGTGTTGGCAGAGGTGGAGCTGCCAGGGGAGAAGTCGGCTCTGGCGGTGGCGTGGGATCTATGGCTGGCGGTGGTGGATTCAGCTCCAGAAGCGGCGAATGCATCACCCGGATGGGAGGGAGATTGGGGTCCAGAATTGCAGTCGCTGGTTTTGGAAAGGGAGGACCAGTGCCCTGCGAAGGAGTCTTCATGGGTGCTGGAGGCATGGGCTCTATGGGGAACGTGGTCCACGATGAAGTGGAACACTTTGGCCCTGGAGGGCTAGGCGGCATGGGAGGTGGGGCTTGCAATGCAGGGATGAGGGCCAGCTCGACTATGCACGTCATGTCAAGTGGAACCATGCCCCGATAAAGTCACCGCTGCTAGAGGGAAATTTGTTTCTCTGCCTTCTGACAGCTACATGAATTACCAAACTGGTCACTGTCAGCTGTTGACACTGCTTTGTCAACTGCTAGTTGATCAGGAAGCACCTTCTCCTGAAGGTCCATCTCGGAGAAGAGTGACTCAAAAGGTCTCAAACAAGTCCTTCCTTTCAGTGTCTTTCTTTTTGTGAGTCTGTAGCTGTCTTGAGGCACTGTCTTGGCTCTTCAACAAATCTTGCCTGCCTGCTACTCTTACACTTTTCCCTTTGGTTTTCCTCCTGCATTGGTTACATTAGGGACCACATAGCATTAGGATGAAAAATGTTAATGTGCTCATGCTGGAGTGCCTTGTGAAAAATTTCAGAAAAGGGGAAACGGTACATTAATAATCCCAGATGGGATCACTGATGTAATTTTACTTCTTTAGCAAGACGGTGAACATGACTACTTTTTTTTGTTTGCATGGCATGGTTTGGGATCAGGTTGTGACCATTGCGATCGCTGCATCGACTCCGCAAAAATCGCTAACACACATTTTCATTGCACCAAAGATGAGCGCTTTTTTGTGATTTATCTGTGCTTGGATGCATGCGTTATTATCATTCCTATGGGGGCACTGGATGAAATGGTCACGTGCTTGGCATGTACAGTCAGAACACTGTTGACTATCCTCAGCTTGTTATCCAGAACGCTAAACCTTCTGCTGTATCCTCAATAAACTGCATGCATGAATCAGGCTTTGTTTCTCAAGTGTCTTTTCCGACTGTGAAAGTTCGAAGTATAGACGTCATTTCCCAAGCAGAAAAGAAAACAGGTGGGTTTATGTATATAGGGACTAACATTTTCCAGAAAACACTTATTTGATGTTGTAGCCCAAGGCAGAAAATTAGGGTGTTGATGAAATGAAAACAGTGTGGCTGTGTTGCGAAGAAGGCTAACAGCTTACTGGGCTGCATTAATAGGAGCATTGCCAGCAGATCAGTTCTTCCCCTCTATTCTGCACTGGGGAGGCCACATCTGGAGTCCTGTGTCCAGTTTTGGGCCCCCCACTACAGAAAGGATGTGGACAAATTGGAGAGTCCAGAGGAAAGCATGATAATGGTGAGGGAGCTGGGGCATAGGACTTGTGGGGAGAGGTGGAAGGAACTGGGCTTATTTAGTCTGGAGAAGAGAAGACTGAGAGGGGATTTGATAGCAGCCTTCAACTCCCTGCAGGGTGGGTCCAAAGAGGATGGAGCTGGACTGCTCTCAGTGGTGGCAGAAGACAGAACAAGGAGCAATGGGCAACAAGGGAGGTTTAGGTCAGATAGTAGGGAAAATGTTCTCACTGGCAGGTTGGTGAAGCACTGGAACAGGTTACTTAGAGAGGTGGTGGAGTCTCCATCCTTGGAGGTTTTTAAGTCCTGGTCTGACAAAGCCTTGGCTGGGATGACCGTGTTGGGGCTGGTCCTGCTTTGAGAAGGGGCCTGGACTAGATGTGACCTCCTGAGGTCCCTTCCAACCCTCATTTTCTATGATCCTGTGATGCTAAAACTTTTCATGCAAAGTGTCTGTTTGCTCCCATAAACATTTTTTTTTCCATTGGAAAACAATAATTCCTCCGTTCCTCCCCCTGCCACCTGCCAACCCCCGCCAAAATGGCATTGCCAAAACTAACTAGATAGATCATCACAGACAGAGCTCTTAACCAAAAATAAGGGCCCATTAAGCTTGGTGCTATACAGACATACCATAACGGGAAGTTAGTACAAAGGACTGACATTTTCAACACAGCAGGTAAAGAATAAAACGGCAGGTAAAGAGACATCAACTGAATTGCTCGATGTCACAACAAGTCAGTAGCAAAGTCCTAGCTAGAACCCAGTTTCCTGATTTGCCCATTCATTAGACAGTGCTGTTTTCCTAATATGGCTGGCTGGTTTGGTATGATTTTCCCACATCCGGGAAGAGCCCTTGAGTGCATAATACATAGCCCCTTGTGCTATCCCTGTGTGATTTCACCTGCAGACTTCCCATGATTTTCTCCAGTTTATTACAATGGATCAGAAAAGAACCATCAGTCGAGGAGCATCACATCCTCTAAGGAAGAGGATGAAATCAGAAATACAAGCTTTTGGAGATACAACATGCAGATGCAGGCTTCCAAAACAAGCATCCCGTTCCACCATAAGTTTTCCTTTAGCGTGGCCTGAAGCAAATGATGGACGCATCCACACCAGTATGCACGTGCATCTTGTAGCATCTCAAAGCCCTTTGAGATGCTGCAAGAGGCACATGCGGGAACGAAAAAGCGTTTCCTGTGATGCAAATTTGCAGCGCAAGGGCAAAATTAGACCCCTGGGGTCAAAAAAAACCATGGGGGAAAGAAGCAGAGCACGGCATGGTCCTGGACCGTGCCACGAAGCAACCAGGGGCTTGGTCCTCCCCAGAGAGGCTCTGGTAGCCAGCCAGAGCGTCATTATGGCTGGAGCTCGCCCCGGTGCTGAAGCACGCTGCCTGCCCAGGCAGGGCAGGCAGCATACCAGCCTCAGGGAGCTCGACCCAGGCTCCTGCCAGTAAGTAGGGGATGGGGGTTGGAGGAGGGGGGAAGGGACCCCTGCCCACTCCCCCAGCCTCCCCGATTGCTGTCCCATCCAGCCCCATCCCTCGCCTTCCCCCTAATTGCTGCCCCACCTGGCCCCAGCATCCCGGCAATTAAGAAAAAAAGAAAGTCCCTCACTCAGCTGCCTTTGGGGTCACTGGGGCCTCGTGGCAGAGACCCCCTGCACAGTGTGGGGCTTGGGTGACAGCTGCAGCTCTAACTGCTCTATGGTAAGAAAACCAAACGCAAACAGCAAAACATATAGGTATTTAGAATTCATTTTATTATTACGATAGAAACACTGGTAGGCTTCCAAATTCCTTTAACACTGTAGATATCTCAATAAAACATTGTCCAACTGATCACTGTCTCACTGTCTCTCACTCTCTCTCTCTATATATAGTGGTCTTTTGTTTTCATTGTGGAGGAACATGGATTTCGGGGTCATTTACAGAGTGACTTTGGAATTTTTTTATCAGGAATTTTTCAGTTTTCAAACAGGGAACACCAGAATTCCCGCTAGGGAGGCAAGTGGCAGGACCCAGGCAGAGGAGCCTGCTCAGAGCTGGCACCTTGGACCCAGCTGGCTGTGGCTGACCTCCTGGCTATTTGGGACCAGGAGGACATGCTTTGACAGTTCAAAGCAGGCCACCACACCTGGAACATCTTCCGGGCAATAGCTGCCCAGATGGCCGGGCAGGGGCACGTGCCGCACAAAGGTCACCCCTGCACCCTCAGTCCACTGGCAGCTGGCCCAGAGGGGCAGATGCCTCTACTGGCTCTGCAGTCCCCATCCGGGTCTGGCAGGTGGGCAGCAGGTCACAGCCAGGCAGCAGCCCCCACTGCCAGACCGCTGCAGTGGGTAAAGGGTGCAGGGAAGTCTCAGGGCTGCTGCAGCAGTCCAGCTGGCACAAGGGGTAGTGCCCCCAGGTACCAATTGGCTGGGCCCCAGAAGCTCCTGAGAGCAAGTATCCCTGAGCTACTTGCCAGGGCAGCTTTTTGTATTGATGGGGCCAGGACAGGTCAGCTTTCTATACTGCACAGGTGCTGGCCCCGGGCTCTAGCTCCCCCTGGATGCAGATCCCGGAGGAACCAAGCAGGGTTATTTTGCCCCAAGTGGCACAATTTGCCCCACACCAAAGTGCAGGTCCAGGCATGTGCACTGAGGCAAAAAGCCCCGGCTCAAATTTGCACCGCTTCTATTTGAGCTGCCGCAAGCGCACATGCTTGCATGTGTGGACACTGCCGATGGGGTGATTTATCAGGATGTCCTGGAAAGCATTCCAACTTCAAAGTTGGCCCCCACCCACCCTGCTTGCTCCTGGAGACACTCATTTACCAGTGGTCTCAGCCAGCAGTTAACTATTTCCTGCTTGCTTGTCCATCCTGGCTAGGGAATAGGGTAGGGATAGGCAATCCGTTCTTCACCTTGCCCTCCTGACCAGGAAGGAATAAGCAAGGGTGCAAATCCAAATAAGCTCTGTAGAGGTTTACGTTTATCTTGTATTCTCTCCTACTCACCTGCAAAGGCACGTAAGTTAGGTCAAATGGTTACCCACACTGCACTGCAGTATTCAAGGAGAAGGGGCAAAATTCATGTAGATTCTTCTCTCACATAAGTCAGTAGATTGGTCTGGGTGTAAATGAGAAAAGAATCCAGTTTCCTTTCTCTTTCAGGAGTCTCTAGTTGACTCCTGACACTCACCAGGCTACTCAACCAATACTCCATGCCTGCTAATTGTGACCCTTCTGCATTTGCATATATTGGCTTCATCCTTGAGCATATTCTCTGGGAATAAACTTCACTGTTTCAAGCGAGAGAAGTATCCAACAAGGGTTTCATCAGAGAAGCATGTATAGTCTTAACTCAGATAGTTTACAACAAGCTTTATCTCAGCTTGCCATTTACAATTTAAGGGGATTTCTATATTTAGTTTTGATTGTTTTAGGTACAGGAAACCCTTGCCATTTGCAGATTCGCGGTTTCAAATATTCACAGTGTGAATATTCAAACCCATGGTCTCTCCCCGTGCACGCTCTCTGCCTGCACACTCTCACCATGGCTCCCCTGCCTCCACCACCGACAGCGCTGGTGGTGTCTGCAGGAGCTCTGCGCTTGCTGCTGCAGGGGTCCGGCTGCCGCTGTTCATGAACATATTCACGAATTTCCCTATTTGCGGAGATCTCTAGAACATATCCCCTGAGAATGGCGAGGGTTTCCTGTATTCTTAAAAAAAAAAGTTTAAGACCAAAAAATCTCAGCTGTGCAAATGTGATGTGGACACAGTTAATAGATTTCACAGATTTCATAGACATCAGGGCTGGAAGGGACCTTGGAAGATCATCGAGTCCAGCCCCCCGCCCAAAGGGCAGGAAGTCAGCTGGGGTCATAGGATCCCAGCAAGATAAGCATCCAATTTTCCCTTGAAGGTGTTCAATGTAGGTGCTTGAACCACCTCCGATGGCAGGCTATTCCAGATCTTGGGGGCTTGGACAGTAAAGAAATTCTTCCTTATGTCCAGCCTGAAACGGTCTTGCAGTAGTTTATAACTGTTCAACCTCGTCATCCCTTGGGGTGCTCTGGTGAACAAACGTTCCCCCAGATACTGGTGGTCACCCCTGATAAACTTATAGTAGGCCATCAGATCACCCCTGAGCCTGCGCTTTTCCAGGCTAAAGAGTCCCATGGCTCTCAGCCTGTCGTCGTAAGGTCTGTTTTCCTGTCCTCTGATCATGCACGTGGCTCTTCTCTGGACTCTCTCTAGCTTCTCCACATCCTTTTTGAATTGTGGAGCCCAAAACTGGACGCAGTACTCCAGCTGCGGCCTCACCAAGGCCGAGTACAGGGGGAGAATGACGTCCCGGGATTTGCTTGAGAAGCATCTATGGATGCAAGGCAGTGTTTTGGTCGCTTTACTAGATGCAGCATCGCATTGAAGGCTCATGTTCATCTTGTTGCCAATGATGACCCCCAAGTCTCTTTGTTCTGTAGTGCTAGCCAGCGTAGCACTGCCGAGCCTATAAGGATGCTGCGGGTTTTTGCTCCCAAGGTGGAGAACCTTGCATTTTTCAGTGTTAAACCCCATCAGGTTCTCATCCGCTCATTTGCTGAGCCTGTCCAGGTCAGCCTGGATCGCCCTCCTGTCTTCAGGTGT